ATTATTATATAATAATTATCAGGCTTTGTTATACCAAAATTTAGTGTTATTCTTTTTTCAATAATAATATTATATGATTCATTTAAAACAAAATTTAAATGAACAAACCCATAACTAAACGTACTTTTTATATAAACTTTAAATTGATTTTATTAAATAACAATTTTTAGTCTTTTTTATTAAAAAACTTTTTAATACCAAAAGCATGAAAGGCTTCTGTTAAATAAATAATACAATGTTTAATTATTGTTGGCGCTTAACGACTTTAGGCCTATAAGGCTAATCTTGAAGAAATGTTATTTTAAAGGAACCTAAAATATCAGAAATTCAGTATAAAAAAGTAAATCATAATTCAATACTGCAGCAGTTCAGTTGGTTAATAGAAAGCAAATTGTGTAAAAGTTTTGGCTAAGACCAAAATCAAGTTACTTTGATAATTGATACAATTATAGTGATGAGCTTAAATCAAAGTTTCTCTGTTAATTCTAGTTGGGTTCGTTAATTTATTTAAAGTTACTTAATACAAGTTTACGACCAGTGGTGTAGCTAGGGTATGGGAAGGCGTAGGGGCTGCCTTGAGCGCAAAACTTTTAGAACAGGGTGTCAGGTTTTAAAAATTGATTATATTTTTAATTTTAATGATTAAGAACATTTAATTAATATATTTATTTAAAAAAAAAATATTATTATATTATTTGGTTCATTAATAGTAAACTAAGTTTAAGTCACATAAACATGCCACCAAAAACTGATTGCAGTTTCTTGTTCGGGACCCTTTGGTGACTTAAAAATGATATTTACCAAAATACTAGCTGTTCCTCTTTTCGAAATTTTTAGAAAATTCATGTTTTTTCATGATTTTTAATAAAATTAAATAAAATAACGCTTGGAGAATATTTAAAATGTTGTTTAATTTAGGTAAATATAATTTTTAAGTCACCAAACGGTCCCGAACAAGAAACTGAAATCAGTGTTTGGAGGCATTTTTATGTGACTTAAACTTCGTTCAGGCACACCGTGGTCATCAATGAATAATATAAAAAATAATAAAATATACAGGGTGTCCTGAAATTAGGGGGCCAAACTTAAACAGTGCATTCTTCATAGAAAAGTAACACCTTTTTGTTAAATAAACATGTATCAAAAAATGCCTCCTAACGGAGCTACGGCCCCCTGAATAGGAGCCTAAGAGAAAAGTTTTTTAAAACCATTCCTAGAGCGTTAAACATGAAGAAATGAAATTTTGGCAATTTGGTAATTTTTAGATGCTGAATCAAGATCTAAGATCAAAACTGTTAAAATTTAATCATAGGCGTAACATTTGGGGGGGAAAAGTTATAAAAATAGCCCCAACTTTTTTCAGAGATAATATTTTATTTTTTTTATGAAATTATGAAAACTTATAGTTTTATACGAAAAATAGGTAATCTTGATTTGAATCGCTCAGATGCACCATTTTCGAGAAAAATGCATTTATAAATTACTCTGCATAGCATACATATATTTTCGTTAAAATTTTGTGTTAAAATTTGGAAAATCGCTCCATAATAAAAAATAACAAAAATCGAGCCAAAAAATATTAACTAAACTATAAAAATAAATGTAAAGTCAGCAAATAACCCAAACGTCACTTTTGTCCCAAAGCTTTTTAATGAAAATATTAAAAATTATGCTAAGCATAGTAATTTAAATTACAATTTTCTCGAAAATAGTGCATCTGAGCGATTCAAAGCAATAGTACCTATTTTTCGTGAAAAATTATAAATTTTCATAATTTTATAACAAAACATTAAAATACTCACTCTGCAAAAAGTTGGGGCTGTTTTTGTAAATTTTAACTGTTTTGATTATAGATCCAGATTCAGAATGTCAAAATTACCAAAGTCCCAAAAATTCATGACCTGCAGGTCTTCATGTTCAACCCTCTAGGAATAGTTTAAAAAAATGATGCTCTTAAGCTCCTATTTAGGGGGCGTAGCTCCGTTAGGAGGCATTTTTTGATATATGTTTATTAAACAAAAAAGTGTTATTACACCCTGTATATATATATATATATATTAGACTGGTTAAAAAAAATCGAATATTTTTTTTTTCTTCAAAGCCCGCATTGAAATATCTTCCTAGCAGTAAAAAAAGAAGCCTGTGAAAATTGTAGCTCTTAATATTAATATTTAGAGGTCGCTCATCGTGAATTTCTATAGAATATAAAATATATTTTACGTTTAAATAACACAGGAATTCTTTTTTCTTAACTTTGAAATTGTATAACTCGTTTTTGAGTGAACATATTAAAATAAACTATATTTTTGAAGAAAATTGAACGTTCTACAAAAAATGTCTCCTATAATTTTTTCGTAAATTCACTCCTTTAATAGTTATTCAAGGTTGAAATAAATCATATAATAAATGTAACGTTTAAACACAGGAATTTTTTTTTTAACTTTTAATTTTATAACTTTTAATAGGTGATAAAGCATTAAAAATAAGGTAGACTTTCATAAAAAAACATTTCTTAAAAATGTTTCCTAAGAGAAATACAGGCCGTCAAAGTTTACAAAAAAAAAATAGTTTTCTCTTCATAACTTTTAAACCACAAAATTAATTTGGCATACAATGTAATATAGTCAGTGCCTTAATAATGATGTAGATAATTATTTAAAAAAAAAACATCAGTGCCGCAGTTACTTGGCTGCTCCTCTTTTCACCTTAGGCGCCACTGGAATTTTTTTAAATAATAAACACATTTTTAGATTATCTGTTTAATTTAGAGAAAAAAACTACTCATGTAAAATTTTGATTTAGTGCTTCATTTTTTAAATAATTAATTTATTTATCCAAGAATACTTTTGCCGCAGTTTTTTTGGAGTGTGCCCAAATATTTCAAAAACGAAGTTTAATTTAAAATTAAAATTTTAAATCTAAAAATGTAATTTTGCGAGGAAACATTTTTGAGCAAATATTTTAGAAACGAAGCTCCAAATCAAAATTTTATTTATTTATTATTTTAAAATTTCCAGTGGCGTCAAAGACTGAGGTGAAAAGGGGAGCAGCCCCCCAAGTAACTGCGGCACTGATGTTTTTTTTAAATAATTATCTACATCATTATTAAGGCACTGACTATATTACATTGTGTGCCAAATTAATTTTGTGGTTTAAAAGTTCTTAGGAAACATTTTTAAGAAATGTTTTTTTATGAAAGTCTACCTTATTTTTGATGCTTTATCACCTATTAAAAGTTATAAAATTAAAAGTAAAAAAAAAAAAATTCCTGTGTTTATTTATTTACATTTATTATATGTCTAATTTCAACCTTGAATAACTATTAAAGGAGTGAATTTACGAAAAAATTATAGGAGACATTTTTTGTAGAACGTTCAATTTTCTTCAAAAATATATAGAGTTCATTCCAATATGTTCACTCAAAAACGAGTTATACAATTTCAAAGTTAAGAAAAAAGAATTCCTGTGTTATTTAAACGTAAAATAGAAATTCACGATGAGCGACCTCTAAATATTAATATTAAGAGCTACAATTTTCACAGGCTTCTTTTTTTACTGCTAGGAAGATATTTCAATGCGGGATTTAAAGAAAAAAAATATTCGATTTTTTTGAACCAGTCTAATATATATATATATATATACAGGGTGTTTCTTTTAACTTGAGACAGCTTAATATCTCGAGAAATACGCATTTCACGGAAAAATGTCTTAAATAAAAGGTTAATGTGACTAAAGGGGACATTATCTGGTGCTACCGCTAGCAACCCCCTACCCCTCCTTAAGGGTGAAACGGGGGGTAACTTTGGAAAGTCAAATGGAATGACCCGATTTTTTTCACAGAGTTTGGTAGTACATAAAAAAATAAATAACTTTTATTTAAAACTTTTTTCAATTTATCAACAGATGGCGCTGTAATTCAAAATTTAAGAAAAATGAGTTTCCTTGTAAAATGTATTATTTGAAACGTTTGAAAAACAAAAATTAACATTAAATCAACAATAGTCGGCTCTGAAAACAATTTATAACAACACCTCTCGAGCAATTGTCGAATAATGTGCAGGACAACCATCTTGCTGGTACCACATGTTTTGGAGCCGTGCTAGTGGTACATCCTCCAAAAGGTCCGTCAGATCGTTTTCTAGAAAATTCCGGTACTTTTAATTTGCATTTAATGCACCGTCAATAAAGAAGGGTCCGATTAATCGTTCGCTTAAGGTACCGCACCAAACGTTTACCGACCAGGGAGGCTAGTGCTCCACTTGGTGTCGAAATGGAAGGACGACATTTCGAACATTTGTTATAAATTGTTTTCAGAGCCGACTATTGATTTAATGTTAATTTTTGTTTTTCAAACGTTTCAAATAATACATTTTACAAGGAAACCCCTTTTTCTTAAATTTTGAATTACAGCGCCATCTGTTGATAAATTAAAAAAACTTTCAAATAAAAGTTATTCATTTTTTATGTACTACTAAACTCTGTGAAAAAAATCGGGTCATTCCATTTGACTTTCCAAAGTTACCCCCCGTTTCACCCTTAAGGAGGGGTAGGGGTGGCTAGCGGTAGCACCAAATAATGTCCCCTTTAGTCACATTAACCTTTTATTTAAGACATTTTTCCGTGAAATGCGTATTTCTCGAGATATTGAGCTGTCTCAAGTTAAAAGAAACACCCTGTATATATAAAATATAAAATATATACTATTTATTTAATATTGAGTATCATAAAATAAATATTTAATGTTTTAGCTTTAATATCAAGTTTTAAAACAAAACAATTTAAATTTGAATACCAATTTAGCTTTGATTTATTTATAATAGAATAACAATTATTTAAAATTATTTGATTATTATTATACATATTATATAGTATAAATTTAAAAAATGTTCACTATATATTTTTAATAGCATGATTTACAATGCATTTTATTTTTTGACAGCTGTCACTTTGACACTTAACACTGCCAATTTGATAAAGCTACTGTCTACGGGTCAACTCACCTTTGGTATCTTTAGAGTTCTTGGAGATTTCGCACATGATTGCAGTGTATGCGATAATAATCACAAATAGTGGTATAAAATACAAAAACATCACAGACATTAAATTATAGATGATTTCTTGAGCGCTCGAAGTAAAAAATCCGAAGGAGACGCATTGTTCATACATCGGGTCCTGAGGATGACTCTGCACACGGAAAACAAAACTCTGAAAAAAAAATTAAAATTTAACATCTACAATATTTTGATTCTAAATTTATCAAACGTGTAACCAAAATCGACCAGACTAGATTTAAATGTAGATAAAAATATTTATGGCATCTATGACTATATGACTATAGTCTTAAATTTATAAAAGTTTTTGACCCAGCCGGGGTTTGAACTCAGGTCCCTCTGTTGTCAAGCGGAAGTCTAATCGCTGGGCCACTGATACTTTTATAAAAACCACCTATATTTCGATGGTTATTTGACAAAACATCGTAAGCGACAAAACCTTAATTTTACAGGAGAGATTTTTTTTGTGTGGGAGCTTTATTTTTAAAGTTATTTATCTGAAAACTGGTGAGGCATTATTTTATTAATGTAGAATTCAAATATTTAAGTTAGATCGAATCCAATCTAAAATTTTCATTAAATTTTGTGGCATACGATATTTTATAAGAACATCTTTAGGAAAATGTAAAAATAGTCTTGTCGCTTAAGTTACATTTACGTTACTTTGTGGGATATAGATTTGATTATTACTTTTGTCAAAACATTGTTAGCAACATTTATTTTTTTACTTTTTGAAAATGAAAATCTACATTAGCTTTCTTTGAAAAAAACTAACGATTTTTATTCACAAACCAGTATCTAACCCATGGAGCCTACACAAGGAGCCCGAACTTAATGTCTGCAAACCAACCTTTAGGGACATTTTTGACAAGATGACAAGCAGTTTCAAAAAGTTGACAGAGAATCTAACCTTAAAACAACACAATTAACAATGAAATACGTCAAACTGACAACTTTCAGAAAGTAAGGTTAGTGGTTACTAAAGGCAGTTTTACATTTTAGAAAACCACTGAATGACAGGTCGTTCAAAATTTTTTGGCCGTCATCTAACCGTTATAAATTTGAGTTAAATTATTTGACGTTATAACAACATACAATTACTACAAAAAACACTTTTAACGAACCACACTACGTAAAAAACAATTATAATTAGGATAACTATTAATAATGCAATGATAAAAAGGAATTATAAGCTTTTGATCAAATAAAATATTGTTTTAAAACTTGGTAGCAATCACCACGATGCAGGTATACTTACGAATAAACTGTTTAGAGCAGGAATAACGCCTTGATAGATCAAGGCGGGAGCACAATATTATCGTAAGCGACACAATGTTAAATCGCAAATGCCATGTCTCGGAGTTGCTTACGATTATTTTTCAGGAACATATAGGCGCTTACTTTATAAATCGGTAAAAAGAAGAGGCGCTTACAATAATAAAAATATTCAAACTGACCAATATTAGATTCCAAAATTGGAATAACTATTATAATAATATATAATAATATATAATTATGTTAACATGTGCAGCTTATCGTAACTGACACTTTGATAAAATAAAAAGTAATTTAACAAAATTGTCGCTTACGATGTTTTGTCAAAAAACCATCGATTTGTTTATAAATATTGTTAATAATATTTATATTTATAATATTTTTTGCTGTTTTGAGCTAAAATTTGTTTCTTTGTTTTTTTATTGACCATTTAAACATGGAGCCTACATGTATTTAACGGTAACAATAATTTGTTAGAGTTAAAAACGATTAAAGAAACTAGATACTTTTTACTTTCAGAAACAGTCAAAGATGGTGACTTATCTTAAATTAGTCAAACTTTAACTGTTTAAGTAGTAAAAAATAACTATTTAAAAGTGAAAACGACTATTTTATTAGTAAACAATGCCGGTCCTAATTTAAATAGTAGAATTGTTTTAATGCTTTAACGCATTTAAAACTAAATGTTTTTATATTATTATATTGTATTTTGTTGGGCATTAATAAATTAATAATAAATCATATTTTGCTACATAAAAAGAAGATACACAGGCAAAATAATCGATCCACACAAATTTTCTATGAGTTTCAATCGCAAATTTTTTTTTTTATTTTATGTCGGATTTAAACGAATATTAAAGAATATTCTAGATAAATTAATGGACAATCGCTTACACGTTTATAATATACAGGTTTAAACAAAAAGATGTTTTTTACCAAAAGTTTAAGACACTCTGTAGAGTGGCAAAACCGTATATTGTTCTAAATTATTTATCAAGTCACATCTATTCTTAACAGTTTTGTTTTTGGTTCACCTCGTTATATTTATTTTTGTGGAAAATATGGAGTTTTTAAAAAAACATTGCGGCCTCGGTGGTGTAGTGGTCAGAGCTCCTGGGTACGAGCCGAGAGGTCGTGGGTTCGAATCCCACTTGGGTATGGTTGTTTATATTTGTGTTTGTCCATTGTGTATAGTCCTTCGGAGGGGACTTTAAGCCGTCGGTCCGTTCCTACCCCTAACCCGCACAAGCCATTCAGTTGGCTTATGGGACATCTTAGTTTGGATGTAAGGGTGGAACTAAAAAGAGCACTTAAAAAAAAGAGAGCACTTTATTTTCCAATATTTTTCTGTATGAAGAAATAAGGTTGCTATGCAGAATGATAGTGACAGTTTTGTTGAATCATCCCATACTTGGACATACCCGACATTCAAAAGCTATCAAATTGTTTTTTGCAAATTAATGTTTAAATTTTGAGGTGTCTTCTCACTTTAAAAAATGGATATGTCCTGTTGTTGCCAGAGCCATTAATTTAATCCAGAATGGACGGTCACAGTATTACGTAGCAAGTGTTTTAAACGCAAGGGCAAAGGGCAACATCAGTAGGAGACATTTTTAAAAGTAAGAAGACACCTCAAAATTGACACATTAATTTACAAAAAACAATTTGATAGCTTTTGAAAGCTGTATATATGACATGTCCAAGTATGTGATGATTCAACAAAACTGTCACTGTCTTCTTCCGTAGGCTATGGATGGATCATAGCAACCTTAGTTCTTCATACAGGAAAAATATTGGAAATTGCTAAGTTTTTTAAAAAAAATTCATATTTTCCACAAAAATAAATATATCAAGTTGAACCAAAAACAAAACTGTTAAAAATATATGTGACCTGATAAGTAAAACTTAATTTAGAACAATATACGGTTTTGCCACTCTATATACAGAGTGTCTTAAATTTATGGTAAAAAACATCTTTTTTTTTAATCTGTATATTATAAACGCACATCAATTTTTTATTAATTTTTTTAAATGTGAGCGATTCTCCATTATTGTATCTACAATATTCTTTAATATTTGTTTAAATCTGAAATCAAATAAAAAAGTTATTTGCGATTGAAATTCATCGAAAAATTGTGTGGATCGATTATTTTGCCTGTGAGTGTAATTATATTATAAAAAGATAATTTGTAACTAAAAAACCTTAAAAAAGATTTTTCTACGACCACTAAAGTTCATTTTTTGGTTGGTAGCTTATGCCAGTTTGATTTAGTATTTTTAGTATTTAAAAATGGTACTTCTGTACCTTTGGGACCTGAAGGCATTATTATTGAAATTTTTTGAGTAAAAAAGTAACGTTTTTGGTTTTACGAATATTAAATCACACATTATTTTCAGCTAAGCTAAGATAAAAAAATTGAAATTTTATAAAATAATGGGGAAATAATAATTGGACAACATTCACGTGTGTTCACATAAAATTTTAATTTCTTTTACATAAATTCTTTTCAAAGCGAAGATTATTGTCTTCTAGGAATACTTTGTCTCTTCTGGGCCGTAGACACCTATATTTAACTACTTTTTTATATGATTTTACTCATCTACCCACCACCAAATTAATTGCATTTTTAACTACGAATTTTGACAACTCAACTTGACTCCCGTTCAATGTAACCTGCAATAATTTAAACATAACCACAATTACATTATAATTACATATATAACTAGTTTAGTTTGTCCTAATCAATGCAACCAATTTTGGTTCCGTATTTACCAACCAAAACCCTAAATTTGCAACGTTGCAAAATAGTTATTTGTGTACTAAGGTCAAAAAGTTACTTTTTTCTGGACGAGTCTGATTTTAATGGCCGAGGCCAAAAAGAAGACGAGGGCGAGGGGGTATCGTCGTGCACTATAAAATTTCGATAAAAAAGTCAGGTTGTTATTTAAGATAAATGTGCATAATGTGGAGGGGAAAAAATGGTGGGAGCAAAAAATTTAAAATTATAATTATAAGATTTAAAATAAAAAACTAAAGTTTACGTTTCCTAGCGTTTTTAATAAAAATCTTTTCTCAACGAATAACGAATTTTTTTACACACTGTATATTTTATACACGAAATATTTATTGGGAATATTAATAAAGCTGACATAACTCTAGAATGTTTGACATTTGTTGTATCTCTCAGTAGGTACAAGGAATTCGCAATTAAGGACTCATTAAGCTCGTGCTGTACTCACCTGCGGTATGCAGTAGATAAATGACGTGCCCCAGGCAAAAGCCAGCATGACTTTGCCCCTTCTGCGGGCGTCGTTCACTTTTAGGGGATGCAGGACGGCGAAATACCGGTCGAGGGACACGCAAACTAAGACGTTGCTGCTTAGGTAGGGACCGAAAGCACGCAAAAACAAAAACACTTTGCAGGCCACGTTTCCTGCTATCCAGCGTCCTGTTAACCGCCAGCCAACCTAAAAAAAAGCATAATTCGGTAAAGTTTTTGCTGAAATAAAAAAACAAAGGATGTTTAATTTTAATTGGTTATAAAAAGTGTGGCGCGTCGTTATACCGCCTAAAAAAAGTAAAATTTTTAGGTATCACATTAGACGATAAATTAGACTGGAAAGCGCACATTGAACAACATAGCAAACAACTTTCCAGCTCTATTTTTGTAATTAGGCAACTGTCCTATACGTTGTCTTCTCTCTTAAAATGAATATGTCAAAAATAACTAATTATAAGTCATATTTGACTAATTGTCATAGCGAAAAAGCAGTCACTAATAATTAGTCAAATTCCACTGAATGAAATAGTTAAATTAGTAAATTTAAATTTAAAAAAAGTTTTGACCCAGCCTGGGATTGAACTCACGTCTGTCACTTGAGAAGCTTGTCAACCTAACCTCATAACCAGTCGGCTGTCAGCCGCACTTATAAAATTAAATTTTATTTGTCAATAAATATTGTTCATAATATTTTAAAGTTTAATATATTATTTGTGTTACTGTTTTGAGCCAAACTTGTTGCATCTTTATTTGTTTTATGGGTCATTTAACCATGGAGAGGTATATGCATTTAATTCAAATAATACTTTGTTGTTGGCCGTAAACGATTAAAGAAACTAGTTACTTTTAAGTTAAAAGTTTTAACTGTCAGAAATAGTCAAATATGGTGACTAAATAGTCAAATATGGTGACTAATCTTAAATTAGTCAAACTTTAACTATTTACGTAGTAAAAAATAACTATTTAAAAGTGAAAACGACTATTTTATTAGTAAAAAATGCTGGTACTAATTCAAATAGTAGAATTTTGACTATTTCATTTTTAGCATCCTTAGGACTTGTTACTTTTCATTAATCAACTCCCACCTCAGTAATGATGTAATTTTATGGGGGAATTTTCTACAACCAAGCGCAAAGTTGCACTTTTCCGAGGAGCAAGCATTTCTTTACTTAGACGCTCGCCGAGCGACAAAGTAACCAAAACGCTCGCTTAGTTACCCTGGAAACCATAATAACGAAAAGTCTTTTGATACAAAAGAAAAATTTGAGGTTATTAATAATTATTAATTATTTTTACCATTTTTATAAAAACACCGGTTGGTGAAAAAATCCTGTGTATAAGTCGAGCGCAAAGTGACATTGCCGCTCTCGCGAGATAGCGACAATATATCACTTTGCGCTCTTAATACACAAATAGCTATTACATTACACTTTTATTACACAGTGCGATAAAATTTGATTTTTTCCCTCCCATGAAAAATTCCTATTGATTTTGAAAATAGACTTAAAAAACTGTTTCAGCGTTTTTTCAGATTACGTCATTTTTTTAAAGTGCGATCCAATAAAATGTTATCCTCGGTATTCGGCACATAATATAACGGCTTCGATAACAGCTGGACTGTATAGTTTAAAAATTGATATATATATATATATATATATATATATATATATATATTAGGGTGGCCCAAAAAAAAAAGAATATTTTTTTTCTTCTCGTCTCTTGTGAAAATATGTTGGTTTGTCATGTTTTAAACAGCCCTGTCAAAAGATCAGCACCATTAAAAATTTTTTAGGGGTCTCTCAAGATTTTTAAAAATTACCAAAATCGTCAAAAATTGGATTTTTTTTTATTTTAATTTTTTTTCTCGTTCCGATATTATTTTTTAATTTAAAAATAGTAATGATTCTGAAAATTTCAAATCGATATTTTAATTTCTAAAGGTCGCTCAAGATTTTTTTAACTTTCAAAGTAGAGTATTTTGAATGTTTTCGAGCGACCTCTGAATATAAATATCAACGAACTTTTAGCGACCTTTAGAAATCAAAATATTGATTTGAAATTTACAGAATTTTTATTATTTTCAACCTAAAAATAATATCGAGACGAGAAAAAGAATTAAAATAAAACAAAAATTCAATTATAGACGATTTTGAAAATTTTTAAAAATCTTGAGCGAACCCTACAAAATTTTTAATCGAGCTGATATTTTGACAGGGCTCTTAAAACATGACAAACCAACATATTTACACAAGAGACGAGAAGAAAAAAAATATTCTTTTTTTTTGGGCCACCCTAATATATATATACTGAATATTTATTTAGTGGACAAACATTATAGCTACATTTTAAAATTATTTTAATTATATACAGGGTGTTGCATATTTACGATTGATAACTATTCCCTATATATAAATTTAATAATTTTAGAGATATTAAACAATTTCTAAAATTTTAAATATTATTTTGTATCAAGAAACCTATGACGGATGAGTTAACGGTATCTATGGATGCCACGTAATCTGTTAAAATTTAATAAAACGTTTTTAAAATTTCAAATCATATAATACAAATCTGTTGTCTTATTAAAAAAATTAAAAATTTAAACCAGAAATTATTATTATTTTAAAATAAAAAAAATTAAAATTATTATTTTCTAGTATAATTTTTTGGATTATGTAAAAAATATACAATATTTAAAGAAAACAAAATGGTTTTCTAACAAAATAAAGAATTAAAAGTCTGTATAGGTTAAAATAATAAGAATGGCTGTATAAAAAATTTAAATGGAGTGATTTCGTGAAACAGTGAGACACGGGTACGTTCTTTAAACCTTTATTTTTAAAATCTGTTAAAATTTTTTAAGGGAGGAAAATCGTTTTAAACTGTTATAATAACGAAAAATTAAATTTTGCACCAAATCAGTGCATTGTAAACCGAGTGTTAAAATGTTACCATGTTTTGATACCGAGTTATTTACGGCAATAGTACGAGTATCAAATTGATACTATCAATCACAATAAGTCATTGTAACACGAGTTTTTCTTACTATTTTGTCAATTTTAATCATTATTTATTAATAAAAATAAATACATCTTTAAAAAAAAAAGTAACTTAGTTCAATACTAGGTTGGTACATTTGACGTGAAGAGAAATGTCAAAATTAAATATTTGTCTGTCAAAATAAAACGTCAAATATAATTTTGTTTATTTCGATGCTTTTAAGAGCAAGACAAAGTTTAAATTTACTTCCAATGATTTTATTTGCATTTTATAATATAATTTTAATAAAAAAACCAGAAACACGAGTTTTGATATGAAAATTAAAAGGGGTGCAAAAACTCCAGAATAAAATCCCTAATTTCAGAGCCGGATTTAGCATGGGGCCAGCGGGGCCACGGCCCCAGGGCTCCCACCATTTAGGGGCCCCCACCAATGCAATATGTAGCGCGAATCCTGTAATTTTCAATTAATTTTTTTGTAGATCTAACTCGAGTTTTTCGCGGATTTTTTTATCGCTTATCCGCTTGCAAATCAGACGTTTTTATATAGTCTATAGTCATAAGTCATAGTCATAACAATTTTAAGCAGTTGCTCATTTAGTGCTTGTCATAAGTTTTTGTAAATACAGGCGAACAGTCAATTACTAATAATCTACTATTAAAGTTAGTTTTTGTCCCAGATTTTTATTGGTACATTGGAGTGTTGTGGAATATTTTCCGGTGTTTCCGAAATACTGTTTCGTGCTTTTCTTTGGACAAAAGATTGTTTTATTGTTTGATTTTTTATGAAAAACAGACAAATAATACGAATTTTTGATGCACTTTTTTTCAGTTTGCGGTAAGTATTAAAAATACAAACAAAAACATAGATTAAATTATATTTTCTTACTACCTCGAGTCGAGGTCCTCGACTCAAAATACGTTGTTTCGTCCCCGATTTCACGGCAGAAAGTTTACGTTTCTTGCATTGGTCAAGCTATACGCGCACACTCTAATAGCGGGAGTAAAAATTTTTTAGTCGTGTGCTTAACATTCAAATTTCGTACTGCCAACATGAGAAACACAAAATATGACAGTTTTAAACCATAATTTTGCAATTATAACAACAAATAAACAATTTATGTTTTTACTTTTTACTTTTTATGTTGTTTTAAGTGTTTAATGGTACTTTTATTTGTTATAAAGTAGTAATTTGTTAATTAAAATACAACCTTTTATTTTTACTGTATTGGCACCGCTGAATTACCATGACAACGCTACAGTTTGATTGATTTTGAATGTAAACGTCAGAATTAAACATAGATAATAAATTAAATTAAACGTCAGATTTTAATTTTGACACAAGTTTTTTTATATACATTTAATTTTTTTCCGTATTTTCTGCGGGGTAGCAAGAAAAATAGTATACACTACACGGGCAGAAAGTGTGAGAGCCCTGAACTGCGCGCCATGATGCCCGAGGCGCGCAGTGCAGGAATCTCACACTTTCTGCCCTTGTAGTGTAATATACTATTTACTTGAGTAAAATATATATAAGGTTATGTTCGTATTCAGTGGCGGAGCTAGCCTCTAGGGGGCCCCGGATCAAAAATCTGGTAGGGGCGCTTATACGGGAAAAAAATTTCTGGGTGTCGCGCCCAAGTCTATTTGGGCAAAAAAAGAAAATTTGTAGGGTATAATTTTTTTGCATTTATCAATTTTTTATAATTTAATATATAATCTAATAATATTAACTAACATATTATGTATGTGGACATAGCTTTTTATGTACAGGCAAATTTTAAAATTTGGTCTGGTTTTAGACATTTATCGTTCTTCAACATCTTTTGAAAGGTTTCTATTTTAAAATAAAGGCAAATAATTTAAAATAATTATAACGCTAATAATTATTTATAATTTTCTATTAATATAACACGCAAAGCAGACTCAGTATGCGGCGCAGAGCAAAGAACAATATGCGCAGACAACGCATAGCGGAAAGATGCGTTCAGAAACAATTCGTATGAGTTCACGGCCTCGTTGGAACAGGAAAATTTTATTTTAATAAATCAAAGTATAAACAATTAAATAATAATATAATTTATTTCATTAATTTTATGCCTCAATTTTTTAACATGTGGGTAATATGTTTTTTGCTTACGCATGTCAAAGCCAATCGGGGGCCCCCCTAGTAGGGGGCCCTGTATCATTGATACGGCTGATACCGCGGTAGCTACGCCCCTGTTCGTATTATTCATAATATATAATATATATGTGATATATATATATATATATATATATATATATATATATATATTAGGGTGTCCCAAAAAAAAAGAATTTATTTTTTTTTCTTGTCTCTTGTAAAAATA